GGGGGGGGGGGGGGGGGGGGGGGCGAAAATGCAACTGTAGAGAACCAATAAACTCCGCCACTGCCCCCGCATTGGGGGCCATCGTTATATTTTTTGTATGGTCGGGAAAGGCGGAAGAATTGTTCTTGCTGTGAGAACATTTTCCCTGGGATGGGATGCATCCCATAGTAGACTCGTCTACCTGAATCAAGGTTACTCTTTGCATCCCATTCCTGAGTGCCCTTGAATCAGGTAGACGTGGATCGCAACCGTTAACCGCCGCCCTGCAAGAAGGCAGGTCCTGATCGACCTCCTCTATACGAGAAAGTTGAGGGTTGCGATTAGAAACAGACCTTCGGGAAGTTCGAGGGGAAATTAGCTTGTACTGAAGTACTTTTAAGCAGCTTCAGTACCGCTCATAGCTATCCAGCAGGCCGACCTGCTTTAGGGGTAATGTTCGTTCCTTTCGCATACCTGTGGCACCAACTCGTTGTTACCAAGTGTAACGCGAGCCGTTGATCATACCCGGTTTATGACGAGGCGCAATGAAACAAAAATACTCGAGACTTCCTTTGAGCAGCTGGCAGCCTCCCCCTTTTCCTGGCTTCCTGGACCCAGCGGCTCAAGCGCTTGGAGCTGGGGGAGAGGCAGCGTTTCATGAGTTGCAACGCCTCTTTCGGGGCTCAACGCGAGTCACAGCCACGTACGCCTGCATAGAAGCTCGTACAAGGTTTCTTAGCTCTGTGCATAGACAGTGTAGACAGTTGTGCTCTTGCTTCTGCCTGCCTACAGTTTGTCTAGTGTGCCCAGTTAAAGGTTCATGTGCCCACTCCGGACAGATTGCCTGGATCGCACAGCCCACTATCACACAACTCCTGCCGAAGCGGTCATGCAGCTTCTGCTGGCGGGAGAAGGCTAACCAACAGCTAAGGAAGCTGTTCCTTAATCTCCACTATGCTTTTCCTTCTTGCTGTTTGGGGCCTGTAGACGCAGAAACCATGGGGAGGATGGACAGCTCTCATGGCGCTGCAGTTTGTCTCCCGTCCGTTTCACAAGAATAGGACAACAGGAGTAGGTGGCAAATAATGAGGAATAAAAGGCACAGATAACGGAAAGATAAGCATGAAACACTGATTGGGAATGACACAAAAGCTGCAAAGTGACGCAAAACGGCTTCGGGCGGGCAAGACTGCCAGCCCTGTGTTCCAGTTCCAGGGGTCAACAACGAGGCCAGATTTGCACGGAGAAACCCAACACGAGTAGCCATGCCGTTAATAATTAGAATTACATTTTTATTGGCTGAAGATGGCCTAGAGTGCCTTAACGTATTTTTGGCCCCAGCCTCAGCACTGTCGTCGACAGGGTACTCCGCGCGCAGCTGTCGGTTGAGCAGGGTCTCCTTTGCCTTCCACATTTTTAGGACTCACTGAACATTGAGTTCAACAAGAATGCACATCGTTGCAAACTACCTCTTTGCCTAGGTGATGCGATGCAGAGGTCTGCAGACAGAGAGGCAACCTGAGTTGCTCGTCTGCTGGCTCTGGGTGTCCTTCCCGAGGCCCCAGGGGCTGTTGCCCTTTATTAACAGCAACAATTGGATTCCTTGATGTTATTTGACCATTCTCAGCTTCCTTCGTTTGGGAACCAGAGGCGGAAGGGGACGGATGTGACGCGTGACTTCCCTCACTATCTCTCAGATGGATGGCCCTAGGGGCCCCCAATGGGGGTGCCTCTCTTCAGAGAGACATCATAAGGATGTTTTTGATTTTTCTGTGGAGACGGGATGCAGTATACACCACCAGAGGCAGGCGGGAGGCAGCAGTACGGCCCAGCAGAGGGGGAGCACATACATTACACAGCAGCAGCGACGTTACGCCCAAATGTGCGCTAAACTCCTCAAAGTTATTGAACCTCTGTTCGACATTCATCAGGGAGCTGAGCAGCCTCAGCAGCGCATTTTGGGGTCCCTGACGTGTCTGGCCCGTCGCGCAACGGCTTCTGCAGAGGCGGGCGACTCTCGAGGTGTAACCGCGGCAGTAGTAGCGTTTCTGAGGGATTACAGGGTTGCTTTAAGCACTACGGATGCCTATCATATGCAACAAAGGGCAGGAGGGGCGGATCGGAGGGATGCAACAGAGGCAGCGCGCGCTTCTTTGCTGCTTATTGTTGCCCAATGCCGGTGTAGCACAACAGCGAACTCTGCAGAGCTCATGGTGCAGCGGCAGGCTCTGGGATGCGTGGCTACTGTATTCCGTGCAAACCCTCAGCTGGGATCCTCCGGTTCAGCCGCGATGGGAGAGGCTCTTGCTGCTGCTGCTGCTGCTGCCGTTGCAGTACACCGGGTGCTGGGTTCAGAGCCCTGTCCGCGGACAGACAGAGGGCTCCAGCGTTATGTGAAGCAACAGCAGCAGCAGCAGCAGCACTTTCTAGCCCTGGGCTTGGCATCAGCTCAGCCAAAACACGTGGCACTCATTAGAGCGCTCCTTTTGTCTATCAATTCCCTCTTGAGTGACCTGGCTAGAGCAAGGAGTGCCACATCTCCTCATAATGCTGAAAGGAGAGGCCTGTGCACAGCAGCAGACGCTGCGGGACTTCCTGCCTCTGCAGCAGCTCCCCTTGGTGCAGAGGGGGAGTTGAGTATTGAGCTGCTGCTACTGTTGCTGCCTCTCGCGCTGGCGCAGCCGCTTGCTGCTTCACCTGCCACGCTGCAGCAACCGCGGCAGCTGCGGAACACTGCCGCTGCAGCAGGGTGGGGTTCTTCCTGTGGCCTGACGACGGACTTCGCCTCGACACAAGAGAGCGATGCAGACGGCAGCAAGAGGCGCGATTCCCCCGTTACTGCTGCTGCATCTTGTGCTGCTCGCCATCTTCCAGCGGGTTTTAGCTGGAGGAGGGGTCCTGCCTCTCGGGCTGTGGGAAGCTGCCTCTCAGTCAGGGCCTCCTGCTCCGAGGAGGAGGCGCCTAGTGCAGCCACAGATGCGGGATATCGCTCCCCTTCTGTGCGCGTCGAGTGTTTGCGATGCATTGAGGGGCTGCTGCGGCTGTGCGGCAGAGAGCTGCTCCCGTATTGGGGTTTACTGTTGCGCTGCAGGAGGCCCCCGTTGCTGCCGCCATCGCTCCCAGGCTGGAGCGCTGAAGGCTGTCGCTTGTTCCGCAGCGGCGCCCCCTCCGCAGCGACACAGGCCCCCGGGGACTCAAGAATGCGGGGAGCGCTACCCCAAAGACAGCCAGAAACAGCGGCACTTGCTGCTGCAGCGGAAACAAGAGCAACAGACGAGTGGCTATATCGGCTACTGGGGCTGGAGCGAACGGAACAGCTTGAGCTGCCCTGGAGCTCTCTTGTCACTTCCAGTGAGGGTCCTAAGGTGGGCTTAGAAGAACCCCTTGGCATTTGCAAAACGAGTTGTTCAGTGCATACTAGGGTTTAGGGATTCGCGCTAAGGGTTTAGGGATTATTATTAGTGAACGAGGCAGAGCACCTACTGCTGCTGCAGTGGTTTGTGGTGTTTTGCAGGTGAGTAGAGCAGCCGTGAATTGTGTCTGCGCTCTCTTGGAGGCGTCGCCCCTGCGACAGTGGCCCGCCCCTGCATCTTCCTGCGCCCTTTGCGGCCCTGAGGCTGTGCTATTGGAGGAGGCGGACTGGGGCCGTCTTGCGGGGCTGCTGGGCTTTGCAGGATCGGGAGGGTGCATGGGCGGCCTCGGGGCTGCGCGCAGCCACAGCCTCAGATGCGCTTCGTCGCCAGCTCGTCAGCAGCAACCCGCTGCCAGCTTAGGTTCCTTTACATCGCTCTCCCACACTGTAAGGCAGGGCGCGCGCTGCGCTCTCGCATGCCTCCTAGGAGTCGTTCGCTGGGGGCTGACAGAGGAGCCACCCGACTCGGTGATCCCCTATTCCAAGCAACAGCCCGCGGCGTGCTTTAAAGATGGAACTAACGCTCCACAGGTGGCGGCATCTCCCCCCAGTAATGAACGTACGTGTGCTTCACCTGCGGCTCCTTCAGCCCCCACTGCCGAAGAAGCAGCAAAACCGGAAGCACGAACAGCACCTACTGCAGCAGAAGCAGCAGGTGTTGACGCAATGCAGCAGCAGCAGAACCGAATAAGGCCACCAGGGGACAGTATATACACCTCACCGTCTTCTGAAAGGGCCCAAGCACCTAGCCAGGCCGTAGCGGCCCTTAGGGGGTTGGCTGAAACTCTTCCAGCTCTACCTGCAGGTCTCTTGGAGCCCGGCGTCGCGGCCGCTGCACTTCGTCTTGCCCACCCCTTGATGATGCTGCTTGCGGAGACCCTTGATGCCCAGCTTGAGGAGCAGCAGCTGCTGCTGCTCCAGCGGGCCTCGCATCTGCACCAAGATCTACCCTGCTGTTTCTGTTTCAACAAACAAGAAACAGAAGCCGCCGCCACCGAGTGCGGGGCTCTTGCCACACCTGCTGCCGTTGTTGCACGACGCAGCAAAGCAGCGGTAGTAGCAGCAGCAGCACTACCACCACAACCAACAGCTGCAGCCATTGCTGGTGGTGGTGGGCCGCCCACCCAGCAGCCGGACAAACGCATATTCTCTGGATTCTCCGCAGCATCGACGCAGACGATAAAAGCTGCAGAGAACGCCAAGCGTGAACGGGATGCGCCAGATGGCTTTGAGGCCTTTGCTGGGAAGGTGTTGGCCAGAGGACCGTTGGCTCTGAGGCTGCTGATTCCAACCCTTTCTATGATTGCTGCTGTCGTGGGAGGCAAAGAGCGGCAGCCCCAAATTGCTGAGGCGCTGCTGGTCCCTCTGGAGAGGCGGGCGAGCGCTGCTGGTCCTTCTTGTCTAGTGTGGCTCCTTTGCAGGGCCCTGCAGACGCTGCTGTCCCTCCGCGGCAGCTGTTGTGCCTCTCCAGTGCCGCCTGTCCTTGAAAGGCGTTTTGTTCACTTCTTCACAGACCACGCCCTAGGGGGGCCTCAGGGCATACACCAAGGAGCTGGCTGTGGTGGAAGCCCATCGTCAGATAGCCAACAGGGGATAGCTCTTCCCACTAGGCGTTGCATCTGCGATGCAGCCGCGTGCAGCGGGTGGGCGGGTTTTGCAGCGGGAAAAGAGAAGAAGGGGCTGTGCAGCAGCTGCGCGCGACAGGGACAGGCGCTCTTCGGAGGATTGTTTGCGGCGTTGCTGGCCACTAGTCGCCAGTACCCTCAAGCATTGCTTTTATTGCTGCTGTTAGAGGAAGGCCACGTGAGCGGTAATCAACCTTGCCCAGCTAGTCGACTCTTCAGAGACAGCGAAGGCCCTTTCCTTGGAGTATTGCGCGGCCTGCTGGCTGCGCCCTGTCTTTCCCTCCGCTGCAGAGGGGTCCAATTGGCTCTCGAAGTCCTGTCCTCCACTGCACCAGAGCCGTTGAAAGAGTCTTGCAGAATTCCCTTAGGGACTCAGACTCGCGACGGTCTCTCCTTCAGGGCCTCTGATGCGATCCCTGAGTCTCCTCCCAGCGAGCCCGTCCTATGCAGACAACGCGCAGCTCTTGTGACGCTGCTGCAGGCGCATCTCATCACTCCGCTGCTCACAGGGAGAGCCCCAACAACTGAATTGACACATTATGTCCCGCAGGGGCAGCAGCAACAACAACAGCAGGAGCTCCAGCAGGAGCCGCGCCAGGAGCAGGGACAGCAACAGCAGCAACAGCAGCAGCAGGAAAAGCAACAACATCAACAGGAGCAGCAGCAGCGCTCGGACCTGCTGGTGAGCGCATGCATGTTCCTGTGCCGTTTAACACGGGAGGAGTGGCGGCGGTGCGGCCTTCTTAGCGTAGAGGTACTGGGGGCTTTGCGGGACCTAATAGCAGCGGGAAGGCCCCGCAACCTTCGGATCGCTGCTGCGACGGCCTTAGGGGCATTCGCAGCGCAGACCAGGGGCCTGCAACAGCAACAGCAAAGTGCCGCTGATTCTCCGGATGGAGAGGAAGCAGCAGCACGCACGCCAGCTAATGCAGGACAGGATGGAGCACAGCCCCAAGAATGCCAACGATTTGAAGCAGACTCTCTGCTTAGCGATTCCTTAAGACTCTTGCTGGTGCAGCTCGAAGATCCTTTTCACGACGTCCGCTCTGCGGCACTCGGCGCCCTGTGCGAGGCAGCCGGGGCCGTGCAGCAGCAGCAGCGGCAGCAACAGGAGCTGGAGCTGCAACAGCAGCCAGGGGACCTGAGCTACTGCGTACGGGTTGCAGGAGGGGATCTTTGGGTGGATGCTTTGAAGGGCATTAATGACCTTTTGGAGCAGCAGCAGCAGCAAACCAATGGGTCTGCAGCAGCTGCGGTGGGTCTGCGAGCAATTGGGGCGGTGGCACCCCTTGTGCTACTGCTTTCTCTTGATGAGGCGGCACGGCCCCTCGAAGCCAAGAGCGGCATACGCAGTGCATGCAGATGGCCTGCTGAGGAGGTTGCCCAAGTGACAGGCGACAGGGGAGGAAGCGCTTTAAATGCATGCAGGCAGGGACCACTAGAGGAGTTAATGCGTTCTTTGGCGGCGCTGGCCTCCGTGCTGCTCTCCCTAAGAGGAGAGGAAGCTGTTTCACTGGTCGGCCCGCACAAGCTACTTAGCAGGGAGCAGAGGGAGGTCACCGGCCCTACAAGCGACGGCAGCAGCTGCTGCAGGGAAACTAAAGAGGCAGACCCATCACGCGCGCCACACCAGTCACACGCTGCTGGTGCTGCTGCGGTTTCTGCCGCTGGTGGGGGTCTTAAGCAGCTGAAGCTGCAGTGGAACGCATGCAACAGCATCCGGGTTCTCTACTCTGCGCCTGCAGCTTCCCGCCTCATTACTACCGACTGTAGCAGGTGAGTGGTACTTCCGTTACAGGGAATGTGTAGGCATCCATTGTGTTTTGTCTTATTGTGCACTTTCAATGTTAAGGGCTATGAGGCCTCCACTTCTAACCGGGGCACTTCTAACCGGGGATGGTGGCACCTAGGTCTGTTATCGCCAGTCTAATGGCAGGAAGGACAGAACTTCCTTCTTTTCTTTTAAAACAGATATGCGTGGGGCTCGGATGCTGTGTCCTTAAATATCCCGTTTTGCATCTAGGTGCATCCATGGATGCATGCGTGTAACTTTTGGGGGAGGAAAGATTGAGCTGCGCTGGCTTGGGAACCGAGCCCTTTTTCTTTAAGCTGCCTTTCTGATTCGTCTACCGAAGAATGCGTTTGTGTCTGGCTGCTTGCTGCACCACCCGCACCTCCATTCCGCATGCGTTGGATATTGCATGCATTTGGTGCTGCGCTGCAGGTTTTTCGTGCCGCTTTGGCGGGGGATCTGCATCTGTTTGAGCGCTTCCCACCTGACTAAGGTACGCAGTCACGCTGCAGCTGCGCTGGAGGCCATGCTAGAGTTGCTGGGTCCTGCTGCTTCTCATCGGAAGCTGCCCCTCGTGTCTGGCGATACACCTCAGCTGCACTGCGTTGGCTGTGTCACACCTATGCTCAAAGAGGCGTGGGAGGCACTAGCAGCTGCAGCGACGGAGGCAAGGATTAAAGGACCACCACACGGCGGTGAGTGCCTTGGCTGTTAGAATCTCTCCCTTTCACTTCTCATAGTATTTGCTTCTTCTTCCTAGCCATACATGCAGGCAGATAGACAATACAGCCAGCGAGAAGCAGCGGGAGCTAAATGCAACGCAGCAGCAACAGGCACCAGGATGCTGTCTATGGAGTGAAAGCACAAGGAGCTGGGCATGGCCTATGCTGGTATTTTTTGTGCTGTATGTTGGATCTGCAGAGGAGCGCTGGCGTCTGGGCCGCGGTGCACCGCCACCTCGTCGGCAGGAATGCTTGCAGTCAAAGCTGCGAGATTTAATGGAGGGGAGTTTGCTGCAGCGTACGCAGGAGGTCCTAGAAGCTTGTGGAGCTCCGCCTGCCCGCACCCCCGTCAGCGCAATGCATCCTTCTTTCCCTCCAAAGCCACAGAGCCCCGCCGGGCCCCACACGAATCCCAACTCCACTTGGGAGCCACAGTGCAGCTGCTCGCATAGGTTGGGGGGATCGTATACAGGTTCTGCCGCGTTAGAGGCCCTTAGGCAAGCAGTAGAGGCGGCAATGGAGGGCGTATTCGGAGCTCCCCAGCTGCATGACAGAGAAGCCTTGATTTAGTCTTGCTTCCATTGCATGCGATGCCTCGCTGGTGTCAGCGACCGCACAAACGTGCAATCACGATGGACCAGCGAGTTGACAGCAGGAAACAGGCGTGCCACATAGCCAGCGGTTCGAGCATGCCCCATCAGTCTTTATTAGCAGACATAAGCTAAGGCATAGGACTTTCTTAGTGCCTATCCATGGCATAGGTAGGGTTGGGCGAAGGTTTATTCATGGCGTAGTTAGGGTTCCCTCAGGGCCTATCCAGACTAATCCCCAGTCGCACACTACCAAAACCCTGGATAGGCCCTGAGAGAACCCTGTCTCGTCACGGTCTAGGTAGGATCTAGATGATGTCGAGTTATTTATTGCTTAGTTTGAGGAAAATTGTGTTAACATAGAGCGTACGTGGAGCTCTGTAAGGGATTAGTTTGTGGTGGTGAGGGTTTAGTTAATGTAGATCTCGTGTGGTTTTGTGAGTGTATTGCTCAGTTGAGGCATAGTTTATGTTCACCGTAAGGTTTAGGGCTTTTGGCTGACGGTTTCTCGCAGAGGCCGAACGCCCCCTGAAGCGTTAAGTGACAGCTTAAGTGTGTCGGCGGCTTCGTTTGCCACAAGAACGGTGGGCGCCTCACGCTTCCCTGAAGGTACTGGAAGGCTACGTTTATTCGTCCCGACTAAATCTGCCAAGCTGCCTATGTCGTGTATGTACAGAGGTGCCCTCTAGGCGCCTACGCACTCCGTTTTCCGCCTATTTGTGAAGCATAGACGAATATAGCTGAATGACTATGGAGCCCGCTGGAAGTTAGCTTGTGCTAGCACAAGCGAACTTCTGCAGAGATTGTAAAAATCAAAATGGCAGTAGCATCTTTCTCGGATTGACATTACTGGATGTGGGAGAAGCTAGTACGCGTCGGGTTAGGATGACGTATTCGAGCCGCTTACAGGCAAGATGGGACAGCGATGGAGACTTCAAGAAAAAAAGGAGCCGGCACGACGCGTTTTCAGGGCAAAACGAAGTACTAGACAACAAATACAAAATTATCCTGACAGCAAAAGAGCACGTTAAACCCCAGTATCCATTGAATACGGAGTAGTTAAAAGATGTCCGAACCAGGAATCGAACCTGGGTTTACACGGCCACAACGTGTTGTCCTAACCTCTAGACGATTCGGACCGAAGGTAGAGATAGATCGTCCGAGCACTTTGGTATTATTTTCTTCAGTTTTTTCCTGCCCCAATCCAACGCCACTAGAAATTTAATAACAATGCTATTAACTACACTGCAATGCCATACACAACCTTTCCTGACACTACTGTTGCGTCTCCCCCCTTACGCCTCCCCCGCCCACCTCGGACATCACCACATGCTACCATGCAGCCTCCACCTCTTTCTCTGCATTCTTCGCAAGTGGCACAGATATTCTGGAAACTATTATGCGTCACAGCAACCTGGATGTTTGTTTACTGCCCTTGAGTAACACCGCTGCTATCTATAGCTACACCTCCCCTCTGTCTGCAGGTGACCCCGCTGCACGGCGGGGGGCTCGCTGCTTAAGAAGATAAACGGAAGCAACGAGCACCTTAATATGCTCGCCAGAGAGCGACCACCATAGGGCAAGGCTGCATGTACATACAATCGCCAGTTCTGTAGTAAGTACAGGAGGGACCGACCGCTAACCATGCCCCCCTAAAACGCTGCAGGCGCCTCTAGAGTTGATTCGGTTACTTTCGTAGCGCTGACTTGAACTGGGCACACGCCCCTAGATTAGGGGGTGACGACGCCTGGAGTCGTCTCTGCTACTGAAGCTTTTGCTTCGATACGAACTGAAAGCCTCACTTGACTCGCCACTACAAAACAGTGAACGTATACACCGCAGACCGCAACGGCAGTAACAGCAGCAGCTGCCTTCTCGGGCGACGCAACGTTTGGTAGCGCCACAGCCTGCCTTCAAGATCGACACACTGCTACCGCTGCTGCTAAGTCAACGCTGCGAATACGGCAGGTAGCTGCCGCACCACAAGTGCCTCATCGGATGCAACAGGGGGAGGTCATAGAGCCCCCCTTGCATCATCGTTGCTGAAACCCTGTGGCAAACCCACCCACCAACCCCTCCCTCCCTGTTCTCCCCCCGCTTTCTGCGGGCGTATCTGCATACACTAGGTCTGCCTGAATTCGCGTTTGACAGCAATGCAGCTGGCGCTGCTTCCGTTGCTTTAGAGGAAGATGCGCTGATATGGTTTGCTGCCCTTCAGCACTACACGGCACACAGGGCACTGCCGCCGCGTCCGCAGCGCCGCCAGAATACAGGCCTTGCAAAACACGTGGCCGCACCGCAGGGCCACCACGTGGTCGCTCTCGGGTTGGGCTGACATCCCAAACGAAGTGCGAGCGGCCAATAGTTGCTGCTGCTGCTGCCATGCCTGCGTCTGGGCGGGGTGGGGCTGCTGCTGCTGCTGTATGGCGCTGCTCTGTCCCCCAGAAGTGCCGGGGGCCCCTCGCTGTGCTGCATCACCTGCAGGGGAATCACAGTTGGCGCCCTGACCCCGCTCTGCCGGTTTCTGCTCGGTGTTCTCACCGATTCCCGCATCCTGCTGCTGTTGCTGTTGCTGTTGCTGTTGCTGCTCCTGCTGCAGCTGCAGTTGCTGCTGCTGTCTGTATTTCTTGAGACAAATGGGGCAGCGGGGGAGAGCAGCGCTTGCGGCACTATCCTCCTCATCCTCTCTGTCTTCTGCAACTAGTGGGGGCCTCGGGTATGGTAACAGCTGCAACGGCCCCCCCCCGTATGACTGCAAACCCAAGGAACCCCTCCACAGATAGCTGGGGGGGGCATATGTCGTTGGAGGTGCTGCATGATGACACTGTAGTTCAACAACATCATCATCGTCTGAGTCCAGCACGACTGCTGCTTGGGCTGTTGCTGCTGCTGCTGCCGTCGTTGCTGCAGCTGCTGCAGCTGTTGCTGTTGCTGTTGCTACTGCAGCAGCAGCAGCAGCAGAAGCTGCTCCTCCTACGGCACCTTGAGCTGTAGAGCCCGCGGCGGATCCTCTGTCTAAGCATACAGCGTCAGTGTTTACATACACAACAGAGACATCGTCTGCTGCATCCGAGTCTGCTGCCTCCGAGGCACTGAGGTCGATCACCTCGTTAACCTCCCCTACCAACCCATCTGTCATCAACACAGTGTTGCTACTACTGCTACTGCTACTGCTACTTCTGTTCTCCGTGCTGCTCCTCAGTCCCCCGCTAGACACCCTCTCTACACAAACCTCAGTAGCCAGAGGCTGCCGATTCCTGCTGCTACTCGCTGGATCTTCTGCTGCCGCGCTGCTGCTGCTGGCGACAGCAGCAGCAGCAGAAGAGGGGGCTCCCGCTGTTGATGAAGAGAACGCAGCACGAGACAACTCCTCTACCACTGGCTCTCCCATCGCTGACCCCGTACCGGCCGCTGCATTTGCTGCTTCCGCTGCATCGGCTGTTTCCGCTGCATCGGCTGTTTCCACAGCATCCGCTGCTCCCGCCGCATCCGCTGCTTCCGCCCCATCCGCTGCATCTGCTGCACCCGCGGCTCCTGCTGCACCTCCTGACCCATCACTTGAGCTGCTGCCCCCCTGCCCGTCTCGCCCAGCCATCTGTCCAGTCACAGCCAAATGTCCCACCTCCCCAAAATCTAGGGGTGCAATCGGCTCGGTCGCCTCTGCTGGTGCTGCTCCCGCTGCTGTTGATACTGCTGTCCCATTTGGCACATATCCTGCTCCGAAGTCTGCAGGAGATGTTTCCAAGGTAGCAGCTGCAACGGCTACAGCGCCAGCTGTTGCCTTCCCCTCTAATGCAGGCCACCGAGGGCCCTCGAAGGCATCTCCTGCTGGTCCGTGAGAGTACCCTGGGACCCCGCCCTCTGAGCCTGACGCCGCTGGCGGCCCCACATGTGGAACCCTTGACTCAGACACACCCGTGGATCTCTCTAAGACTTTTGTGCATCCTGAAGTGGCCGGGGCCTCCCGTTGAGGACCCTGCGCGTGAGGCGGCGTTCGGCGCCCCGAACTGCTGCTGCTGCTGCTGGGTTGTGGTTGTGGGGCTGAGCCTGGGAACCTGTCGGGACAAACGGTGCTGCTCCTGCTCTTTGCATCGCCGTCGCCCCCACACCCGAAGAATACACCCAAATGCAGACCCTCAAACTGCGGCTGAGGCTCTGCTGCAGCAGCTGCCGCAGTAGCACCGCCTGCAGGAGCAGCACCGCCAGAAAATGCAGCCGTAGGGGCATAGTCAGACACACCGCTTTCGGAGCAGACACCAGTTGCAGCATTCACCTGCTGCAACTGCTGCACTACCTGTGCCTGCTGCTGCTGGTGCTGCCACCCCACATTGGGGAGCGTGTCCGCAGCTGCAACAGGGGAAGGAGACTGCTGCAGGCCTCCACCAAGAAAAGCCCCTTCTGTAGGTGAAGCCCCCGCTGGCTGTTCCTCCTTCGTCGCCGTATATACTTCTCGTTCGCAGCTGAGCCGCAGCCGCTTTGCTGCTTGCTCCCTGTTGTCCCCAGCGGCTGGTTCCGCTGCTGCTCCTGGTGTTGCTGCGTCTGCTACCTGTGCTGCGCCAACGGGAGACGGCACACCTGTGGGAGGAGCAACGGCAGCAAGAGGGGAGAGGCATGCCTTTGTCGTTTTGCAGTTCGTATGGGGCTGCTGCCCTCCATCGCCAGGAGCAGCTGTCGCTGCTGCTGCTACGGTCTCCGTCTCCATTTGCATGCAGCAGCTTTATATTGGGCAGTGGCGGCAGAATCAGCCGAAAAAGCCCCCTCCGCAGCCCATAGACAGACCCCTAAGGCAGCAGCAGTTGTAAGACGATGAGCTGAACAAAGTACTACTTGACGGCTTTCGCCGGCTCTTAAAGAAGGAACCCCCCGCCCCCCCCGCTGCAAGCCCTGCTACAACCAACCGCCAACAGCATACACCTCCACCCCCTCAAAGCGAAGATTGCCACTGCAGCTGCTGCATCCAGCTGCATGCAAGAGCCCTGCAGCAGGAGGGAACATTGGCTCGTCCACAACCGAAAGGGGGCTGGCTGCCTCTACGCCGCCACCTGGATCCTCATTGCAAGCCCTGCAGCAGCGCTCAGCAGCAACAGCGAAGCAGCAGAGAAGCAGCAACAGCAGCAGAACTGCTCCACCCAGAGACAGCACCAGATGCCCGGAAGCCGCAGCAGCGTTGTAGCCGCCACCGTTCAGCTATTGCTGCACCCTCGCAGCAACGAACTCAAGATGTTGGGAGACCAGCCTGCAACACTGCCTCCTTGGCTGCCCAGCGTTCCCGCCACCAGCAGTAGCAAAGGGCTCCGGCCACACTGGAGGAAGCACGGGGGTGGCTATGTATGCCGCTGTGACTGCAGCAGCTGCAGCAGTATTTGTGGAGTTTAATGAGAAATGCATTCAATGTCTGATTTATATTACACAAATAAACCATTCATTTAAACCTTCAGCCGAAAAGGGCTGCCTAGCGGCGCGAGCTGCTGCTGCACCCGGCAGCGCGGGGGCGGGACCTTGCATGCAGGGAACAGGCTTGCAGGTGTTTTTGTCTTGGTTGCTGTTGCGTTTAAACACTTTGTTGTATAGTTGTTATGATATTGTCCTCCGCTGTTGTTGCTTTTCGAGGTATTAGATCCCTTAAGCGCCACGTGTGCGCCTCTCTGGCTGTTACAGCCAGCGCTTTACATGCAACACATACAGCATTCACTTGCTTGCTGCTGCTAAAGAATGATACATATAACGCGGCCCTTTGATCTTAATGAAGGGCTATTATTAGTTGAAGTGAAGTAGAAATACCTAATATGGTGATTCCTTAAATGCAACTGACGTTTCCTCCCCGTCTAGACGCGTCCTTAACGCGCTTTCAGCTGCTATAGCCGCTTTAGAGGAGGCAGCTTGCTTCCTATGAGTTGCAGCAGATCTTCTTGCTGCTTGTCACGATGTAAAAGGGCCCCACATACAAACACGAACAAGAAGCCTTCTTTGTTGTACGCGCAGACACTGTAAACAGCTGTTTAGAGCTTCTCTAACAGCTGTTGCTTTGTTTGCATTAGTGTTGTTGGTGCCTAGGTCACCTTCGTTACGCTGCACTAGCTGTGGCATAGTCTGCAAGTCTGTCTATCAAAGGTGGAGTATGACCCATTACTCGGGTGTACTAGACAGCAGAAATAGCCTACAGTGTGAGTGGATGCAGCAAAGAGTACTGAATTGTACTTGCATGCATGCATGAATGCATGCACGTACAACCCAGTGATAAACCCATTGGAAGGTTGCCTCCTCTTCCGCGTACACAACAGGCCTTTGTGCCGTTTTACTTTGCTGCTGCTGTAACTGCAGGAACAAGCGCAATCGCCGTTTATTGCTGCAGCCTTTTGCAGTTTGTCGATGTAGTTAATGAGAAGCACACTGTAGCCTTTTGCTTTGTTGTTAGTTTTGCGCCTTTGTCTATCGTGTGTGCAGTTGATTCTGCTTCTTTTCTTATTTCTGTGGCTGCTGCTGTTTGAATACCTTCTACTGCGGCATGAGGCGACCCACTTGACGGGCTCCTTCATATGCCTCTGTGCTATTCTTAACGTGCTAATCGCAACCAGGCCTACTAACTGCCGCACGCATTGCGTTTGGCAGCGAGGTGTCTGCACATATCAGATCTTCAGGGCAGCAGGCTTTGCTGTTGCTAATTGAAGCAGAGATGCGCACACCGCGGCTTCTTAAGGCATTACAAACACCAGAGGGTGAGGAAAGGATAACATATTTCGCCTGCATACACTAGAGAAGAATTTGCCTGAGAGGAGCCAAAAGACCGTCCTTGCTGCATGCGATCGAACAGAGGCCTTAGAAGACGCACAGCATAGAGGAGGCTGTCTTGAGGGCGGTCTGCTAAGGAAAATCTGAGGAGTCTCAACAGCTGAATAATTGTAAATCATAATACTGATTTGCAATGGCTCCCTGCCGAGATGCCTGCACGACCTGTTGCTGCTGTTTGCCTGAAAGACGCAGAGAAAATATGGCTGCTCGTCTCTGTGCTACGGCGCAGTGGTGGCCAGCACCAACTAGCTGCAACTGCTGCACCAGTTGCCTCAACCGCAGCTGCAGGTATGCGACGAGTGCACCTCGAAGGGGGAGCTGCTGCTGCTGCAGAGATGAGTACAAATGCAGCCGCCACACACCAAGCAATGGCCCAAGCTTACACACCGGCCAATACAGCAGCTACAGCAGAAGCGCAGGCTGTTGTAGCGATGGTGTTTCGTCTATTTCAGAACTGTTCTTCTAACTGCTGTATTAAAGTACAAAAAGAAATCTTTATGCGAGTTATTGATGCCCAAAACGACAGGTTACTCTATGCCACGGCTAGCACAAAATAGTCAAACTGTCTGCGCATCTTTTGCTCAAACAAATACCCTAAGGCTACTAGCTACTAATATTAAGATGCAGAAACAGCAGGAGCAGCTGCTGCCGCATGGGTAGCTGCTGCATCTTCCTTTCTAGAAGCCACAGATGGCACCGCAGTGCTGCTGGAGCCAAAATTCGCAGGCCAAGTCCTTGGCTGCTTCCTCTTCCGCAGCCTGTGCCTTTGCCTGTAGCTGCCGCAGCCGCACGACTGCGGTATATATGCAGCTCACCCCTGCAACAGCAGCGTGGCTGCCTGCGAGCTCTCTAGATACAACACGGTAACGACACCCCAGCGCCTCTAGCAGCACACGTGGTTTCATTCCTATGCGCTTCTGCAGCACAACTGGCAGCGGCAGCGGCTCTACAAGGGCAGCAGCCAGCGTGGTTACATCATCTTCTGCAACAGCACCAGGACCAGCTGCAGCAGAAGCAGCAGGACCTACGCCTGCGGGCATCTGCCGCTTCCTTCTAAGACCCTCGCATACAGCCTCTTCTTCTGGCTCGCTGATCTCCTCTACTAGACAGCCCTGTGGCACCTGCAGCACTAGCTGCCCTACCTGCACCGTCTCATAAGACAAAGCAGCATCAGCTGCACCACCTGATGCTGCTGCTGCTGCTGTTGCTGCTGGTGCGGATCCTGCCGGACCCCGAGAAGAACCGCCCCCACCGCCTCCCTTGCGCCGAGAAGGCCCCTTCCCTGAGCGGCCACGACGTCCCCCAGACTGAGATGCTCCCTTGACTACTGCTGCTGCTGGTGCAACTGTTGCTGTTGCATCCAATTCCATGTCAGCTGTTCCAGCAGCAGTACCAGGAACACAAGCGGAAGCAACAGCAGCAGCAGCTGCCGCACGAACTGCTGCAGAGGGTCTGCTTTTGCGGTGGGCTGCAACGGACTCATTGTTAACAAACACCGCAGGGCTAAGAGGCCGTCTCTGACTGTCAAGGGGAGCAACCACCAACCAAAAGAGAAAGGCAAAGCGCCTCCAAGCTGCAACGGATTCTGCTGCTGCTGCTGCTGTTTCTGCTGCAGCTGCTGGTGCTTCCCGTTTGGACGCCGCGGCAAGGCAGATAGGGGCAGGGAGATGCAGGCCCCGTACTGTGGGCAGCAGGAAGGAAAAGAGAACGCTACACGGGTGCGCAAAGTCTACATAAGGAGTGCCGCCGACGCTTCCGCTGCTGCTACATCTGCTAGTGGCATTGCAAGTGTTGTTGCTGCTCTCCTGACTTTCCTTGGAAGGTTCTCCAGCGGAAATCAAAGCCACATCCGCTTTTACGGGAGATGCAACCGCAGCAGAACCAGCGGCTTCAGCTGCTCCTGCCGCTGCTGCTGCTGCCAGGAGGGGATCCTTTGTTTGCCGCTGCTGATCGGTATTTCCAGCATCAATTGTTGCGTTGGTCACGCGTGAAGGAAAACCGCAAGTGTCCTCATCGCTGCCACTGCTGCTGCTACTGCTGTCGCTGCTACTGCTACTGCTGTTGCTGCTGCTCAGGTTGCTTCTGTGTCTCACCCACGGCATTTTGCTGCCTCGTCTGTGCCCCCGGCGAACTCGAAAGTGATTTGCTGCCTCCTGCAGGACTGCACTGCAGCTTCTGAGTTGGGCTTGGAAGGCGCAGCGGTGGATCGACTCCAGGAGCAGCAGCTGCTGCTGCTGCCTCTGCATGCCCTTACGCAGCTGTCGCACCTCCTCAGGCGAGTCTAAGAGAGCATCTGCTGTGCGAAGCATCGATGCCTCTGCCTCATCCGCAGCTTGCCCTAAACTGTTGCTAATACTGCTGTTGCTATTGCTGTTCCTGCTGTTGCTGTTGCTGCCGTTAGATTTGTTTCCTCCCTGGAATGTCGACCCTCCGAGTTCTTCTTCTCGGCTACTTTGCTCTTCCTGTGGTTTCTGCTGTCGTTGCTGCTGTTCCTCTTTACTGGTCACGCCGCCTGGCTCCACGAGCTCTGGCGCTTTTGTGTTGTTTGGCAGCGGTGTGGTGTGTGCGTCGTCTGCAGCTTCGTCTTTTACCAAGGGAGCATTTTGCGTCCCGTATTGCTGCAGCAGCTGCTGCTTCTGCTGCTGCTGTTGATGCTGGTAGGCATCGTTGAGTATTCGTTGTTGGACGACGTCTGTGAGTGTACGCGGCCTGAGGAGGAGCCGCTGAGGATCAGGAACGAGTTGCTGCTGCAGCAGCAAGCAGTTGTAGACGTCGTAGGTGAGAGGCGCAGCACGCGGCAGAGGCAACAGACAGGCAGGGCGATATGGTGCAGCAGCAGCAGCAGGATCAAGAACAGCAGTAGGAACAGGAGGAGGAGGAGGGGGTGGGAAGCAGAAGTTTGGGCCAAAATTAACAGCACAGCTGCCTCCCCCCATTAAAGATACAGCAGGGAAATACTCCCCAGCTAAAAGGCCGCAGCAACCGCTACTGCTGCTGCTGCTGTCTGCTGCACCAAACCGACATACACCTGAAGGCTTTCCATTTAGAGTAAATTCGACACAGGACCCCACACCTGCTGCCTTTACACCCGCGCATGCAGCCCCAATGCTGTTGCTGTCGCACAAGCCTGCTGCACTCCGGTGGAAGCCCTGCGCTAGACGATCTGTGTCCAGCCAACTGGACAAAGTGTACGGGTCCCCCGCAGCAGCAGCTACCTCAGCAGCTGTTGGTGGACCTGTTGCTGCTGGTGCTGGTCCTGTTGCTGCTGCGGCTGGTGCTCCGCCTGTCCGCCTTTCTTGCTGATGCTGCTTCTGCTGCTGTTGCTGTTGCTGTTGCTGTTGTGTATTGTTGTCTCGTCCAGCTTCGGAGCTTTGCAGCAGCCGCATACAGCAACCAACGATATCGCCTTCCTTCAATGCAGGGAAGAAACAAGGGAGCTCAAGGCCTCCCCATGCAGTAGAGCCACTAAGAGTTAAGCCAACAGATTCGGCAGTAGAGCCTAAGGGAGCAGCAGGAGGATGTCGCCTAGTGCTCCAGCCTACTCGGAGGTCGCACTGGGAGGAGGCCTCCAGCCGCTGCTGCTGCTGCTGTTGGTCAAGGGGAAAAGCTTGTTGAGAGCGCAGCACCTGCTGCTGCTCCTGCTCGCAGGGCACTGGGCCTACGACCACCTCGAAGTAGTAACAGCCAGAAGAAGCAGCATGTGTCGCCAACACCACCCCACACCCAAGACCAACAGATGCTCTCTGCCAATAATTTATCCCCTGTGCCCTCCCGCTGCTACTGTTGCTGCTGCTGCTGTTGCTGATACTGATACGAACACTCGGGTGCTTGTACTTCGCCGACAGCCGCACGCGCCGCATCGCGGCGTGCATAAGAGGAAGCGCGGAAGAATCCGAGCCGCCGAGGCCGTCCAGTGGCTGCTGCTGCTGTTGCTGTTGCTGTTGTTGTTGTTGCTGTGTCCGCAGCCACAGGCCGTCTGGGTCGAAGGGGATGTCTCCACAAGCAAGGCCTTCAACTCTGGCTTTTACAGCAGTGAAGTCCGCATATGCCCTGCTGCTGCTGCTGCTGCTGGTGCTCCTGCTGAGGCCCCCCTTGCTACGCCCAAAGCAGCGCAGTGCCTTCCGCAGCAAACGAGAGTCCACCATATATGAATCCCCTTGTAGCGACCTGAGGCTCTTACGGCGCAACCGGAGGCACCCTGATGCTGTTGCTCCTGCTACAGTGGAAGCTGCAGTTGCTCCCTCGCCCGCCTGTCGCATGATGCAGCGGGATATGAACGCTGACAGTAGGGGCAGTGGCTGCCGCTGCTCGCACTGCTGCTGCTGTTGCTGCTGTTGCTGCGGCAGCGAGAGGCGTAGTGCGGGGGATGTGCGGGCCCTTGCATGCGCAAAAGCCGCAATGCGTTCGAGGTAGGTAAGGGGTCTGTAAGGGGCCTCTACGTCGAGGATACTCTCCAATTCACGTAGACTGCTGCTGTTGATGCTGCTGTTGCTGTTACTGGCGCGGTTGCCAGCTTGTGGAGGAGAGCCGTGCAATTTCAGGAGTGTCTGCAGGGCAGCGGGATCAATTAGGGGAGTGAGGGAGGCAGCAGGTGCAACAGCAGCAGCAGCAGCAGCAGCAAACATATCAAGGGCTTCAATGCCTTCAGGAGGGTTTTGCAGCTGTACAAGCCAATCTGCTTCTAAGTAAGCAGCTCTGCTGCAGCGGCGTTTCCCCCCCAACAGCAAATACGCATCTGGCAGCAGCTCCCCTGCAGGAACGTCACTCCCGCTGCTGGCGCTGCTGTCATCGGAAGCATGACCGCCCCAGACCTGCTGCTGCGGCGGCTGCCGGCGGCGGCGTAAGGCTCTGCCTATAAGTGGACCCTTGCGGGCGGCAGCCGATAAGGTGGGGAAAGGAGCAGCACCAGGTAAGTCAAATCTTAGCTTTAGCCCGCTACAACGGCCACACAAAACCCTGCCGGTGCTGCTACCGCTGCTGCTGCTAAGGTCTGAGTGGTTATGGACGTTGAGTCCAGTGCTGCTGCTACCGGGTTCTGCACCTGGTTCGTGTTTTGGGGAGCATGCTTCTTGCTCTGGCTGTCGTTTTAAACGCCGTTGCTGCTGCTGTTGCAGCAGTAGCAGCTGTTGCTGTTGCTGTTCGTCATGGGTCTGTAAGCGTGCGCCTAGGTCACCAGATACAGCGCCTCTTTCTGCTAGTTTTCTTTTCTTCGGTATACCATTTAACTCACGGGGAAACTTTGCGACATCATAAGGATTTAGAAATAAATCCCTCTGTGCAGCAGCAGACCACCATGCCTCTCCTCCATTGCTGCTACTGCTGCTAGAGCTGCTGCTGGGGATAGTGCAGTGGTAGTGCAGGGCATTCAAGTTTTTTAATAGATCAAAGCGCAAAGGTGGTGGAGGAGGAGGACGTAGCAGCTCCTCTTGGCTTCTTGCAGGGGGGGCAATTACCTTAGGGGGGTGGAAGTAGCAGCCCCTACACTCCTCACACACACCGTTACTGCTGCTGCAGCTGCCATTGCTGCTGCTGCTGTTGCTGTTGCTGATGGTGATGCTGCCTTTGTGGTCGGCAGCGAAGCCGTCCTCCATTCCACTGCCAGCCCTTAACTACAAAACGCCTGCGCCTCTGCTCCTCTTATAATCCTGATGCTACTGCTGCTGCTGCAGCTGCTGCAGCCTGTTTAGGTCTTGCTGACCCTGGGCCCGCTGCGGATGACCCCTTAAAAGGCATTCTAAACCTCTGCTGCGTCTCCGTCCTCCTGGGGTATTCTCTGCTGCTCCCCTAAGGATACTGTGCTACTGCTCTCCAGCAGCTCTTGCTGTTGTTGCTGATGTTGGATTTCTCGCGGCTACAGCAAGTGCAACAGCAGCAGAGGCTGCAGCACCCCTGCTTCGGTTGCTGTGCTGCAGCTTTTCCTCCCTTGCTGCTGCTGCTACTGCTGCTACTGAAGCGCCGCTGCTACTGCTGTTACTGAAGCGTCAACATCCCAAGTCGGCTCCCCCATATACAAGAGATGCAACACTAAGGCCTAGGGTCTGCTATTTTAGATTTTGAGGGTTGAGGTTCCGAGGATTTAGGGTCCGAGGGTTTAGAGTTTCAGGGTTAGGGTCTGATAGATAAGAGTTTGTGGGTTTACAGTTTGACTGTTTACAGTTTAAGGGTTTACTGCCTGAGGCTTTTTTTGAGTTGAGGGGTTTATCGTATGAGGGTTTATCCTTTGAGGGTATGAGGGTTTACCGTCGGAGGGTTTACGGTTTGATTGTTTAGAGTTTAAGGGCTTGGGGTGTAGAGTTTGAGGGTTTTGGGTCTAAGACAAACAGCAATGGAATATTAAAAAGAATTAAATCTTCCCCCATGTAGTTTCTTTAGTGCAAACAAATAACCTGCTGCTCCTGCTATTAGCTGCATGCTGCGCCACCCGTATACCGTAAGGGCTGCGGCTGCTGTGGTCATCAGCAGCGGATGCGTTGAAGTATCCAATTGAGTTGTGTTTATAATATTTTATATTTAAATTTAATTCCGTTGACTTTTTAAACTTCATTTACCACGAAGAGAGCAGCCACACACCCACCGAACAGCACCGCAAGGGGGGTGGTGAGGTTGTTCCCCCCCTTTATACAGCCAACGCGTGCAACTTATAGCTAGGCGCAGCAAAAGCTTGCGCAGCCATCATCAACATTATCAGCAGCACCTTCAGCTTCAGCAGCAGGAACAGCAACGGCAACCTCGGCGGCAGCGGTAGTAGCAGCAGCTGCTGCTGCTGCACTGGCGATGCCACTGGCGGAAGTAGCAACAAAAATAACAACAGCACCAGCAGCAACATCGAAGGCAATAAGACCATCAGCAGCAACAGCAATAACGGCAATAACAGCAGCAGCAGCAGCAGCAGCGCAGCTTTCCTGCTGCAGTTTTTGAACCATTAAGACTTTTTCCTTAGGGGTTAAGTTGCTGCATGCATCGGGATTAGATGGATTAGCAGCTGCTTTGCTCCTGTCTCCATAAGAGCGAAAGGCACTTGCTGCTGCTGCTCCAGCAGCAGCAGCAGCAACTGCAGCAGCGATGGCTTCTTTTGCCGCTGCGTCTGCTAGGGGTTCTACCTCTCCTGCAGACTATAATGCAGAGAATATCCCTCCAGTAAGCAACAATACTTTAAATTCTGGTGTCCCCCATGATACGTTGAAAGACATTGGGGCTGCTTCAGCTGCTCCTGCATCAGCAGAAGCAGCAGTAGTAGCTGTTGATGGCTCTCGTGAGATGCTGTCTCTGGTGGCTGTGCATACTCGCGCTCCATATGGTGCCGCTGCTTATGGTACAGCAGCAACTGCTGCAGCGGCAGCAACTGCAGCAGCAGCAGCAGCAAGAGCAGCAGCAACTGCTTCTGCCGCTGCATCTAGCCCCTACAGCAGCCAACCGTTACCTCTTTCCTCTTACCCTTGTAAGGCAACGTCGGGTGTATACGCAGCGCTTCAGTCCGCCCCACAGGCCGTCTGCGAGCTATGGAGGGTTTCCTTTGAACCAAAGAAACTACGCAGACGGTAAACCCTAAACCCTAAACTCTAAACCCTAGAAAGCAAACCCTTAGCTCGAGCAAACCCTTAAGAATTAACCGCAAAATTGGAGAAAGTAGATATTAACCCTTCAATATTAAGCCCTAAACCCTTAAAACGGATCAACATAAACCCTAAACCCTACACCGCAAACGCTTAAAACCCAAGACCCTAAACCCTAATTAGCCCTTGGGAGCGTCGAGCTGCACGAATAACGGCTGGCAGCAGCAGCAGGAGCAGCGGAACCATCTTCATTGTTATGTTTAGTTATTATAAGAAAATAGACTCTCCCCTTTTATATATGGCACTTAATAAAAAGAACAACAAACAAAGCTTTAATTTAATTTAGCAAAAAAAACAAAAAATGCTGCTGCCACCATGTGTTATCTGGTGTAAAACAGAGGATGTGCTGCTGCTGCTCATGCTGCTGCTTGTGCTATTGCTGCTGTTCCTGCTGTTGCAGACACTTCCTGCAGCAGACGGACCTCAAGGTCGTCTCTAATTGGCTGTCAGCGCAGCTGGAGACCGATTTGCTGCCTCCTGCTGCTGCTGCTGCAGACTCTGCTGCATTTGCTGCAGCAAGTGCGATCTATGGACAGCTCGTGCCGCAGCTGCTGTGGGCTGCTGCTGCTGCTGCTGCTGGCTTGATATCGTTGACGCTGCAGGTAAGCATGCAGTTGTTTTGCTGCTGCTTCTAGTGTTTGCACACCGACCATAGCATGCACAATTGCTACACTGTTACTGCACTGCTGCTACTGTGTAGCAATTGCTACACTGTTGCTGCACTGCTGCTACTGTGTTGCTGCTGCGCTGCTTCTGGTTTAGGACACAACTGCCCTGTGGGCCCGCATGCAGCTCCTCGCCTTAGACGCAACCAGCAGCAGCGCAGCAGCAGAAGTAGCAGGAAGCAGCAGGAGGTCTGGATCTGCTGCAAGAAGGCGCGACAGCATAGCTTTGCTGTACGGCCCCTCCCGTACCTTTGGCCGCCGCAAGCGCCGCAAGCAGCAGCAGCAGCAGCAGCAGGAGCAAGGAGAAGACACCCAAGAATTCGGGGAAGATGTTCCTCTGACGCTTGCCGACCTTACATCTAGCAACAGAGCGGAGCCCGAATTGCTGCTGCAGCAGATCAGCAACAGCAGCAGCAACGAGACGCAGGGCATTAAAGGACCCAATGCACTTTCGAGGCAAGCCACAGTTTCCGTGCAACAACAGAAGTAGCATAACCGGCAGCAGCAGCACCAGCAGCAAGAGCAACAGCAAGAGCAGCAAGGTGTATGTGTACATATGTATGTGTTTTACAGGTTTTTGGGTTCGTTTGCTGCTCCTCAAAGCGCTTCTCCCTTCCGCTCAGCTGCTGCTGCTGCTTCATCTCCTTTCGCTGCTCTTCGTCAGGAGTTGCTGCAGCTTGGGGCGTTAAGGGCGACAGGGAGGGGGATCAGTCTTGTTGCAGCAGGTGCAGCAGGTGCAGCAGGTGCAGCAGGTGCTTCTGCTGCGAGCAGCACATCAAGTCTGGGGACCGCTGTTGCTTCTACTTCAGCAATTGCTGCAGCGCCGGGGTTGGGATCGTCCCGCAGTAGCTTGCAGCAGCAAGAGATCGCCCGATCAGACCAGTGGACTTTGCTGCCGTGGCAGTCAGCAGCCGCAGCAGCAGCCGCTGCTGCTGCTGCTGCAGTGCAGCAGGGGCTGTCACGACGCAGTTCTTTTAGCTCTGTTGCAAGCGACCTGCTGCATGCGTCTACCCCACTCCAGCAGCGGCATCACGATATGCTGATGCAGGGCCCATTAAACTTAGAGGTAGCTGTGGGGGCAGCTGTAGATCCTGCTGTTGCTTCTCCCTTTAGGCTGCAGCAGCAACAGCGGCCGCTGCTACCTTCTGAGCCTTCTTCTGTAGGCAGCAGCACCAACAGCAAAGACAGAAGAGCCTCTCTATCAGCTGCGTATACACCCGAAAGGGGCTGGCCTAACGTTAACCCGCTGCTGCAGCAGCAAGAAGGGGCCCTAGGGGAATGGCAGTTCCCTGAGGAGGATGCAGCATGGCCTCACGGCACCCCATCAGATGCAGCAACAGGAGCAGGAGAGGCTACAGCAGGTGCTACAGAAGGAGAGGCTCCAATGGCTTTAGCCATACCCGGACAGCAGCAGCAGCAGCTGCTGCTGCGAAGTGAGAAGCGAAGGCGGAGGGAAAAGCTTCAGCAAAAAGTGCAGCTTGACGAAGTTATTTCTCGTTCTGCCCTCAAAACAGCAACACCAGCAGCAGCAGCTGCTGCTGCACGAGGTCAAGCAGGATCCAGGGGAAGGAACACTAGCAGCAGCACCAGCAGGTTAGGGGAGGCGGTGTCTGCATGCTTGAGTCTTCTACAGGAAGGCACAGAGGATGGCGCAGCCCTTAAAAGAAACTTCCGCTGCTACTTCGGCATATTGGAGCGGCAGCTGCGGTTGCGGGCTCTGCTGCAACAGCAGGAGCTGCAGGAGGAGGAGCAACATCAGGGGCAGCATCAGCTGCTGCTGCATCGGGGGTGTAGCAGGCGGCTAGAAATAGCAGCAGCGCGAGCAGCAAGAAACGGCAAACTGGCTGCTTCGTGTAGGTGGAGGTTCTCTTGCGTTGCTGCTACTGCTGCTGTTTGCTGCTGCTGCTACTACTACTGCTAGTACTACTAGTAGTGCAGTTTAACTCTTGTGCTCCCTTATATAGCGATTGACAGAAGCATGCGTTGGCATCAGCTGCTCCAGCGCCACAGCAGCAATAGCCGCTGCTGCTCCCTTTAGCTGCTGCCCTTGCGGCTGCTTGTTCTTCGTTCTCCTGTTGTTTTTGCTTCCCTCATTCCTTCTCTTCCATTTAGTCTGCCTTCCTTGCTTGGGTCGTGCTACTGCTGCTACTCCTGCCCGTCTGTCGTCTGTTCCATTTCGTCTGCCTTCTTTGCTTGGTCCTGCTGCTGCTGCTGCACCTACACCTCCCGTTTCAAAGGCAGTTCCTTGCAGTATAGTTTACCAGCTTGTGTCTCGAGCCCCCTCTACTGAGCTGCTGCTGCTGATGTGTTGCTCTGTTGCAGTTCTGTTGGCGAATGCTCACTCATGGGAGCTGTTGCCAGCACCCGCCCAAGCGGCAGCAGCAGTGCTTCGAGGTTGCAGCCTTGATGCCCCCCTGCTGCAGGACACGTTCCAGCGGCAGCTGCTGCGTCAGCAGCTACTGCAGCACAATATCACAGATGCAAGAACTCATGCAGCTCTTTCTGCTGCGGGGTCTAGCGGTCTGGCAGGCAAGGAGGCTGGCTCCAGCACAGGCGGAGCAGCACACGCGGACACAGCAGCAGCAGCTGCAACAGCAGCAACAGCTGCAAGTAGAGAGAATGTGCTGCGGGCTTTCGACAGTCCGCTGCCACCCATTGAATTTAGTGAAGAGAAGGATTCGGAGGCATGGGCAGACGGCGCCTGGGCAGACACGCCGGATGAGCAGCAGCTGCTGCAGCAACTGCAGCAGCAGCAGCAACAGGGGCTTGGGGCAGCTCCTGTGGATCAACAGCAGCAGCACCAGAATGCCCGCGAGCTTGCAGCAACGACTGCCGCTGGCGCTGCTCGAAGTAATCAAGGTTTTTACCGAAAGAAAGACGGTGGAGTTGTCTTCTTGGGGCCTTCTGCTGCAGATGTAAACAGCTGCCCTGCTGGTGGTGCTGCTTCATTCCTGTTGCTGCTGTTGCTGCTCCACTGATGCTGCTGCTGCACTTCGCAGCTTTCTTGCGTTGTTTGCTGCCCTTGCCAGCTCAGCTGCTGCTGTCGCTGCTCCTGTTCCTGCTGCTGCATTTGCAATTGCTGCTGCTTCTCGTTCTGCAGCTTTCCTTCTGGGAACGTACTGCTGCTGCCCTTGGGGCTGGTACTTCTGCTGCTGCTAGTCTCGTTAAATTTGCTGCGGGTGTTGCATTTGCAGCTGCTGCTGTTGGTGGAGAGGCAGTACTTACCAGGAGCTGCTGGGAGGACTGGCCAGTCTGGCGCCCCTGCTGCTGCTCCTGCTGCCCCGGCTCCTGTCTCGCTGGGAACGCTGCTGCAGGGTCGCAGCCGCCGCACTGCAGCCCAGGCGTTTCGTGATGCGCTACTGCTGCACTCGCATGGTCTCTGCCTGCTGCAGCAGGCTGCTGTAGAACCCACAACGTCTTCTTCTTTAAGCCAAAAGCCGCCTCCTCTTTTTATCTTTTCACAAGTAAGTTGCTGCAGCTGCTGAAGGGAACCCGTGTGGCGATCATGTGACGTGCATTGCTGGAAAGCATCGGGTGCTAGACAGGAAATGCTGTTGAACCTGCTGCTGCTGCTGTTGTTGCTGCTGTCTGTACAGGACGCCGCGCAGGACGAGCAGCTACTGAGCAGCGCTGCACGACAATCAGCTGCAACAGCTACACATGCTGCAACAGGAGCAGCAGCGGAAGCAGCAAGAACACCGACTACACAGAGACCAGCCGACACGTCATCATTTGGTGCATCGGATGGTGTGCGAGCCCCACGCCGTGGAGCAGCACCAGCAACGGCAGCAGCAACGGCAGCAGCAACGGCAGCAACATCGCCTGATGCTGCTGGTACAAGAGGACTTCAGGATTCTCGAGTCCCCGCAAGTCCTAGTCGTGGCGGAAGGAGTGGGGTGAAGGAGCAAGCTGCAGCTATTGCTGCTGCTGCTGCGGATGCAGCAGCAGAAGCAACAACAGAGCGAGGAGAAGCGCCTATAAGCGACGAGCAGCTGGAGCAGGCTGTGCAGTGGCTAGTAATGGGACTCTTAGATCGTCTTCAGGAGGAGATGCGGCTGCATGCGCATGCGCTTGTTCACTGGTGAGCCGAAGGTTGCTGCTGTCGCTACTGCTGCTGTCTTGCTGCTTGTTGGTGGTCATTAGTTGTTCTGGGGTATTGAGGTGTCTGCGCACCAGCAGCAGCTGCACCAGTGTGCGGTACTTCTGGTGTATTTGCAGGTTTGTTAACGATATGCTTCCTACAACGGAGCTAGCCAATGTTTCGTCTGCTGCTGCATGGGAGGCTAAGGCAGTATATGCTGTCTGCACTCTTATTGACGAGGGTGTCTTCTTAGCTGCTGCTGCTGCTGCAGTAGACGCTCCCGTAGACCTCTCTGTGCGGCAGGCAGGCAGCAGCAACAGCCTGCAGTGCCCATTTTGGCTCGAAGGAGTTGCTGAAGTTGACTAGCTGTTTGCTGCCTTTATTGAGGCATATGCCGCTGCTGCTGCTGGTGGTAAGCGACACAGCAGCAGCAGCAGCACCGGTTGCTGTTGCTCTACACTGACACTGGCAACACCCGGCTGTTTAATCAAAGGCTCGTTGGCGAACGTGCAAAGCGCACAGCATGTATGCATGCATGCATGCTGTGTCTAACTTTTGATGTGTCCTACAAAGCTTGTGGGTATACGAAAAAGATGAATGTTCGTACACTGCAGTCAAAAATCAGATGAGTACATCACTGCTAGTAACAGCAACTTTGCAGTTAATACAGCAGAGAGGAAGGCACAATTAAATGGTACAAAATACGCAACGAAGGGGGAAAGGGCGGTAATAAATAAAAGAGTTCATTTACCAAAAGTGCGTCTGCCGGGAATCGAACCCGGGTCACCTCGATGGCAACGAGGTATTCTACCACTAGACCACAAACGCGATGGCAGTCCACATACTTAGAATCGGGAGACCTGCTATCTATCGACCTTTAGATTATAAAGCGAAGGGAACGTAGACAATAAAACATGCAAAAATAGACAAGGGACGAAGAAATAGCGACGTTAGATACATAGCAAGGTGATGCTAAAATGCAACTCCATCCATTTGCTTGTTGCAATTTCCCCCCTGTTTCCGTACTTCATTTAGGATAGTGAGCACTATAATGTTTGATAATAAAAGTTGCGTCTGCCGGGAATCGAACCCGGGTCACCTCGATGGCAACGAGGTATTCTACCACTAGACCACAAACGCATAGATTGGACGACTTACCAGAATTGGGAGAGCTGCTGTACATCTACTTCAATAATATAACGGCTACATAGAGTCATAAATAAAACCTGCAAAAGTATGCAGAGGAAGGAGAAATCGTGAAGTTAGAGACACAACAAAAAGGAATTCAAATTGTACCAATTGCATGCATGTGTTACTACCGTTGACAGCCAGGCAATCAAGATAGGGGGCGCAATAAATATACGAAATAAATACTAAAAATGCGTCTGCCGGGAATCGAACCCGGGTCACCTCGATGGCAACGAGGTATTCTACCACTAGACCACAAACGCGATAGTGGGGTTCCGTTGGCCTGCACCTACCGTCTATTCACAGGAGCAACAGGTGCGAATAATCCGCTATAGATATGAATGGAGAACAATACATATGGCAATAAAACTTTCCTATACTCCAAGGAGATCATTTCAACAGCTTAAACACTCTTCCTTTGCAACGTAAGAATAACGCTAAGTCGAGGTCTTATGGTAATAAAGAGGAATTCTGCCCCCAGGCAACATACTGGTGCGATGACAACATTGAATGCATCGCTCCTATGTCCTAGTGGGAATAATCTGAATGTGTGTATTCAAAAGCATCAGCGGTATATTAAGGTCAGCGTAAAAATCTGGAACGTCTGCGGTGAGTCAAGCCCTGGTCACCTCGTGTGGCAGCGAGTGCTTTTACCACTCGATCGCAAACGAGCTGCCGGATGTCCATTACACCTTGACCGCTCTAGATGGTAAACAAACGGCCAATTAATATCATTCTAATTATATATTTTCTCATTAAATTATTACTGTATTTCTATCAATTCATTTTGTATGAATGCCCAACATACACAAAAAATGTAGCACCGCCTCCCCCGGCATACAGACATTCTTCATTCAGTGTCAGCGTGGATGCAGCAGTCTAGAGACGAGAGGAGGGCAGAGAAAGCAATACGAACCTAAATAGTGTATACTTCGAGAAGAAGGAGAAACAATATTTTACGTAACGAAATAAAAAATTAAAGCGAGTAGGAGCGTGTAGTAGGACAAACTCCACCAGATCACTGACCGTGGGGTATATCCAACAGGAAGCCCCAAGGAAATGGATGCAACAAAGTGATATGATGCGTGAAAATCAGGTAAAGGTGCGTCTGCCGGGAATCGAACCCGGGTCACCTCGATGGCAACGAGGTATTCTACCACTAGACCACAGACGCGGCGACGAATAATGGGGTAAGAATTGAAGGCGCTGCAGTCTATCTACTTTTAGGTTATAACGCGAAGAGATCGTAGACAGTAGAACCTGCAGAACCATTCAGGGGAAGTGGAAATAGCTACATTTGGTAAACCACAAAAGGAAACCTACATCCAACAACTCAATGCACTTGCTTTTGCAATTTTCTTCCTTTTCCCTACTTCGATAACACGGACATCATTAAGATGGCGAGAGCTGTAAATATGTGAAGTAAATACTAAAAATGCGTCTGCCGGGAATCGAACCCGGGTCACCTCGATGGCAACGAGGTATTCTACCACTAGACCACAAACGCGATGGTGCACCTCCCTTTCCCTGCACCTACCGTCTATTCACAGGCACAACAGAGGGGAATTATACGCTGTATCTATTAATAGAGGTAAATACATATGGCAATAAAACTTTCTTATACTCCAAGGAGATCATTTCAACAGCTCAAACAAACTTCCTTTGCCTGTAGACCCTTTTGATGGGTGAATACCGCCGGCGGGTTACTAGAAAATTCCACGACGCGCAACCACGATATTGCATTCTCTTTGCAGGTTGGGTTCCTTGCAGCAAAAGGATTGAAGTAGTCTACTAACAAGAACTACGTAGATTTTTTCTAAGATGGGCAGAACTAACTGTAAGGCGGGGAGCAAAGGCGAGTAATAACAAGGCCAACTGTAAAGAGAGCAAGGAGATTATGGAGATGTGGCACGAAGGTGTGTGGAGTCGGCTGCGCGTTCGTGGTCTAGTGGTAGAATACCTCGTTGCCATCGAGGTGACCCGGGTTCGATTCCCGGCGGACGCAACCTTTCATACCTACTTATTGTGTAACGCTCATCTTCGTACATAATGATAGATTACATAACTATTTCTTGTATAACAGTCATCTTAGTACATAGAGGTACATTAAGATTAGCGTAAAAAACTGGAACGTCTGCGGTGAGTCAAACCCTGATCACCTTCTGTGGCAGTGAGCGATTTTACCGCTCAATCGTAAACGGACTGCCGAATGTCCATTACCCCATGACTGCTCTAGATGGTAAACAAACCGCCGATTAATTCCTCTCAAATTATATATTTTTTCATTCAACTATTACTGTATTTCTATCAGTTCTTTATTTATGAATGCCAAAAGCAGATTAAAAATTGAAATTAATCCCTGAGAGCACCGTGTACCCCTATATACAGACATGCTTCATTCAGTGTCTGCGTGGATGCGGCATTCTAGAGAGGAGTGGACGGCAGATAAAACAATACGAGTATAGATTGTCAGCAACTTCAAGCAAAAGGAGAAACAATATTTTACGTAACTAAATAACAGAAAATTAGAGTGAATAGGAGCGTGTAGAAGGACAAAGTCGACCAGATCACTGACCGTGGGGTATATCCAACAGGAAGCCCCAAGAAAATGGATGCAACAAAGTGATATGATGCATGAAAATCAGGTAAAGGTGCGTCTGCCGGGAATCGAACCCGGGTCACCTCGATGGCAACGAGGTATTCTACCACTAGACCACAAACGCCTGACTGTTCTTTTACAAGAGTGGTGTATCATACACATCATAGCAGACCCTCTTGAGGTATCTCATGGCGGACCGCCGCTGCTGTCCTTGGTCGCCTTCTATCTCTTTAGGTTTCCCCTCTAGCTGTGAACAATATAAAAGATAAATAAGGAAGAAATAACACAGGAAATGCGTCTGCGGGGAATCGACCCGGGTCACCTTGATGGCAACGAGGTATTCTACCACTAGAACACAAACACCCGATGGGTTGCATGCGCAGTACCGCGCTTACATAAGAATATAAAATTATTTTGTTGCTAATAATATTAATAGGAGAATTTAAGGACTATATTAAACCGTTATTTAGTAGAAGTAAAAGGTGCGTCTGCCGGGAATCGAACCCGGGTCACCTCGATGGCAACGAGGTATTCTACCACTAGACCACAAACGCTCAGTGGCCATCGCATTTCCATCCTTCCTTGATTCAATATTTGTTATTATTTGGACAATGACAAGAATATGTTTTTATCTTTTTCTGTGGCAAATCATAGCAAATGTGTGCTTCTTTTTGTTCTAATAGATGGAAATCTTCTTTTGCTCTCGTTCTTGCTACGGCAGATTTACCATCATTGTACGTTCATTGGGGCTGCACGCTACTCAAATATAACATTCTTGCGTGAGTTTATGTTTAAAGTTGCCAGGTAAGGAATGCTAAATACTTGATATTATGAATATGCAGCAGGTAATCAGCAAAGTTTGAATTGTACAGAAGATAAACGCCCCGTCTTGAGTAGGTCTCCCTAACTATGCAGCTATAACCAGCGGAATCCACACTCCTATTGTATTAACGTTGAAGGAATATACCTTCTTATATGCTATTTACTCCTTATATGGAATATATATGGCTTATAAATAGCCTAATAACACTAGAATACACCTAAAGTATATATTGAAACCTTAAATGCCTTTCTATAGGGGCATGGAGCTGTGTGTCCGCCCAGCTGTTTGGTTAGCTTTCCTATCATTGTTTTCCTCTGCTTAGCTTTGTCTACACTGTCTCCTCAGCTTTCTCATCAACTAGCCCCCCTTAATTATTTTGCCTGCAGTCAGAAGGGGGAGAGAAGAGGAAGAGGTGGAGGGGGGGGCTTACACTAATCTACACGACAAACAAAGAGAGAACATCTAAAGTAGCTTTGTCTGCGAAGAAAAAATTAGATGCTGTTAACGTCATCATTTTACAGAAATGTTCTGCTGCTGCAGTGTCTACTGAGCAATGTTTATTGTTCTTATACCAAGAAAGGAGGATCCTTATATGCATGGTAAAGACGCTGCATGCACAAATGACCCCCTGGTGTAAAAATACAACAAAAACAAAGCAGAGAAGGAAAATAGTTATGCATGCACGCATGCATGCAGCTTTTAGGCTGTTCCTTTGCAGTCGGCAGTCGTGTGTTGAATACTTTGGGTTTAATCGCAGTTGTTTGTAGTGGAAAATGATTGAAATAGGTTTTAAGATGGCAAACGGATTAAACAGAAGAGGAAAAAGAAACATTTTTCTGCTTTTGCTGCTCTTTACAGTTGTGTTTCTTTCCTCCTTTTTTCCTCTTAACGGATAAATAGAACCCCTCTATGGTCCGAGTGGCAAATTGAAGTGAAAAAACCAATTTATATCATTTAAATGAACTTCATGAAAGAAAATACTATTAAAATAGACATTTAATTACTTAACATTTCTTTTTTTGCACAACAATTGACACAATTGATCTCGGGGCCCTAGACATTGTGACTGCCGTCTGTGCCTTGTTGCCTTCAGGGTTACCGTTAGAGGCCAAATAATGTATTAAATTCGTCTGTTTATATTTTAATTCGCGTTTAAAAGTTTATTTTTGTTGTTTTTCCTTTTATTGCAAGATATTTATTCATTTAAAAGTGCCTGCAGCAGCGTGTTCCTCCGGTGATCGTTGCCGGAGGTTGTGTGCCTGGCGGAAAGGAAAGCTTGCTGATGCCCCTAAATTCTTTTTCCTGCGGTGTATATTCATATATTATTTAAATTTTCTCATTGAGGTTTCTAAATATTTCCTTTATTTTTACTTCTTCTCTTTATATATTCTAGTGTAGCCACCGCAGACCGTCGGGGCCGGGCCATAGACCAGCGGCGACTCGCGAGACGCACAGCGGGTTGTATGGTTACTTCTTTTGTTTTTTCTCTTCTTTTTATTCAATAAATAAATAAATTAATTAAAAGTACACACAATAGAGGCTTCTTATCAAGGGCATTTAGCGCAGGTCACCGTAGGCAGCCCCCCAGCCTGCCTGGCAGCGGTGCTCGCTGCCTTCCAGTCAGAGCAGGAGCAGCTGCGGTAGCAGCAGCTGCTGCTGCTGCTGCAACAGCTGCAGCAGCTGCAACCGCAGCCAAAGCCTGCTGCTGTTAGCTGCTGATCTCCCTCTGCAGCAGCCGAAGCGGCAGGACGGCGGCTGCTCCCGTTTCTGCAGCGTATGTACTCTCCCTACTAGCCTAGTTGGCTGTTTAAACTGGCTTGCTGCTGCTTTA